CATTATTTGCTCGTATTGATCCACAACAAGGTACAACTATTCTTAAACGTATACAAGTTAGTTTACCAAAAAAACATGGTCGTGGTGGACAATCAGCTGCACGTTTTGAACGTTTACGTCGTGAAGCAGTTCATAATTATTTAACTAAAGTTGCTGAAAATGCTAAATCAGTTTTTCTTAATAATCAACAACATGGTTTATGTAATGTTGATGGGTTTATTTTAAGTGGTTCAGCTAATTTAAAAGAAGAACTTGTTAAAAGTGATTTACTTGGTACACAAATACAAAATAAAATTCTTCGAATTATTGATGTTAGTTATGGTGGTGATAGTGGTTTACAAGAAACACTTCGTTTATGTACCGATTTATTAGCTGATATTAAATTAACACAAGAAAGAGAATTACTTAATGAAGCTTTTTGTCAAATAAATCTTTCATCAACAAAAAATGAAACAAATACTGTTTCATATACAATTGGTATTGATGAAACATCATTAATTCTTAATGAAGGTAGTAATCTTATTGATCGTTTAATTATTTGGGAAAATTTAATAACAAAACGTTATGTTTATCAAAAACGAGATGAAGAAAAAATTATTATTGTTGCTGATAATGAACAACAAGCACAAAAAAAATTAAAAATTTTAATCAAAGAAAATGATAATGAACAAATTGAATGTATTGATGAGATGAATTTAATTGATTATTTAACTGAAAATTATAAAGAAATGAATATGCGTTTATATTTAGTTACAGATCGTTCACCAGAAGGACAACAATTTCGTCTTGGTTTTGGTGGATGTATTGCTTTACTTCGATATCCAATTTCAACTTCTATTTTTGATTCACTTGAAAATAATAATGAAAATAACGAAATTGATACATACGACTATTAAACATTTTATTCTGTATAATATAAACTTTTATATTAATTATGAAAAAATAAACTATGTTATGAATACTTTTCTACATCATAGTCTTATAGGATAATATTCAAAAAAAAAACTAAACCTACATATATTCAAATCAGCTCACCAAGACAAGGAACAAAAATGCCATATTAAGACTTGACTCAAATATAAAGAATAGAAAGATCTTTTATCTATGACACTTAATTACAAAAGAAAAATACTAGAACAAAAATGAGAGAATAGGCTTGATTTAGAATATATACTAAATTGATCTTTGATTTTTTTTCCTAGTTTTTGATTTACGGTATTAACGAAGAAAAATCATTATAATTGCAAGAACAATAGGCGATGAGATAATTGTTATTATTCGTTGTTGTTGATTTAAACTTATTGCATTATAACAATAATCAGTATTGCATGAACAAACATTTGCCTACGAAAAATATATAGTTTCAATGAATAAATCATAATAAAAATAAAATGTATTCTATACCGTATTCTTTCCGGCTGTTATATAACACGCTTTTGATCCAGGTGTTGAACCACATGTCCGTACAACACTCTTGCCGTCTGAAACTATAAAAGAACAAATAAAACTTATTTATTTGTTTGTTTTTTATTTTCATATTCCTTTACTTGTTTGAACGATTTTTCGACAATAAGGATCCACAGATACATCACAATGACGTTTATATATATCAGGTCAGTGGCGTAGCGAAGGGAGGGGCAAATGGGCAATTGCCCATTTCATTTGAAGATTTGCCCATTGTAAGTTTTGTTAATAAGCTTTTGCCCATTGAAACTTTATATTTTCAAAATTGTATATTTATTTTTGGATTAAATACTGTTTGTATTTTTTTTCTTCGGTCTAAATCACATATGCACTATATGCTTCTTCTTTCCGTAAAAAATTAAGAAAAGAAGAAGAAAAGAATCGCTTCTTGTATTTTAACCGTAAGTATGGGTGAACGTAAGTTCAATTTTCTGGAGAAAATACTAACCATATAAAGGTAGAAAAGAATAGATGAAATAGAAGAGAAACAGAATGCATACAAGCATATGGATGTGGCCAATCGGTTTGATGTCCTAAGGTTTATTTGCTCATGTAGCTGGTAACACTTATCGGAAAAATGTGAATTTTTTTACCAGTTATAGTATATAGATAATGCTAATGAATGGTTGTTGTTTGAGCTGTATATCCTAATAAGAAAGAGAATTATTGATTGTTTTTTTATATCCAGTTTGTTAGAAGAACTCTATATCAGATATTTTACTCTTACATCGATTTCTACTGAAGTATTTCAAACAACATGAGGTATCAATAACAAAGTTTTATTACTATGTAGTTTATTTGCAACTATAACCAACGTAAAATGTTGTATGCTGATAAGTGAAATATCCACCTAATTGTAGAGTAGATAGAATATAAGCGTCTTTGCAATTTTAACAAAGCTGGTGGAAGCCATCAATAGCTTCTTTATAAACAAGGCTCAAATAATAAAGAATTGAGAAGTGTAGAACATCTTACGTCGGGTATAGTTGCTAATAAACTACATAGTAATAAAAATTTGTTATTGATACCTCATGTTGTTTGAAATACTTTAGTAGGAATCGATCTACACCCTTGGACAAAAGTCTTCCCCCTCTGTGTTTTTATACTATCATACTTTGCATGAAATTTATTACCAAGTAAAGATATAACATGAGAGTTTTATTACAGTGTGATCTGTACACCATACTGCAATAAAACTCTCATGTTATATCTTGGCAATAAATTTTATGCAAAGTATGATAGCATAAAAACACAGAGGGGGAAAGACTTTTGTTCGGAGGTGTATCATATATCCATAAAGGGACTCATGATCTCAATCACGCTTGATAGAAGTAAGAGATCATTTCAAAATAACCTATATGATCCAATTTTGCGAGCTGAACACGAATCTGAAGTCAGTTTTCATGATTCCTAGAGAAATTTGTAGGAGGTATGCCCTATGGTCAGTAGATAGGGTAACCCACAGTGTGGTCCATGCTAACTTGGTCCCTACCCGGCCTTTTGACCTTGACAATTTAGTGTCAAAAGACATATCTTGGTGAAATCTTTGTCTGGTGAATAACGAACTCTAGGACCATGTACAACACGGGAGAAAACTCCAAAATACCGACCATCCGGAACAAGTCATTTCTCGCGTTTTGAACAGGTTTTGACAGATGGCGTTTTTATCAGCTTATATGTCTAGGACTTGAATCGGATAAAGTTGTAGCCTATACTGTTCTCTATAAAATGAGACGTTTCTGAATTCAAACAGTCGAGCCATTCGTTAGATAATGTCAAAATACTGAACATACCCTCAGAATAGCAGTTTTGAGGTCAAAAACGCTCCTCTTAAACTTGTTTCAGCTCGCATCTTTCATACATAAACCCAAATGACTTAATATTTTGGATTTGTTTATGGTTTGCCTAGACCGCTCATTTGAGATTAAAAAATCCAAATATTTTTTTCTCCGGTGACCTTCGCATTGAGTAGAGGTCTTCTCTCGCGGACTCTCTTAAAAATATCCAAAAGGCATGCATTTAATGTAATACCTAAAAATATAGCAATCTGCATCTAAATTATATGAATATTTCCTAACTTAATACAGTAGTATCTATTTCGGTGAAAGAATACTTTTTAAAAAATTGTTTAGTCTAATTTTTTAATTAAACATCTTTTAAATCAATTAAAGTTCTGAATTAAAAAATGTTCTGTCTTTTAATTTAATATATTATCACTTTTAACAAATGACTATCAAACAATTTACATATATGTCAAACTCGAAATTTGAATTCAAATATTTAAATATTGCTTCAAATATTCAAACGTTCAAATGTTAAAATATTCAATTATTCGAATATTCAAATATTCGAATGTTAAAATATTAAAATATACAATTATTCTAATATTCGCCTGAGGTTGCTAGAAGCATGTCTGAAGATGCTAGGAGGATGCCCGAGGTTGTGAGTAGCATGCTTGATGTGGCCAGCAGCATGCCTGAGGTTGCCAGTAGCATGCCTGAAGATGATATGAGGATGCCTGAAGATGCTAGAAGCATGCCTGATGTTGCTACAAGCATACCTGAGGATGTCAGTAGCATGGCTAAAAGAATACTGCCCTCACCAGGATCTGTGGATTTTGTCCTTTGCTCCAACAAGAGTTTTTCCCTCACTCTCATCTGAATATTCGAATAATTGAATATTTTAACATTTCAACATTTCAATATTTGAATATTTGTATATTTGACGCAATATTTGAATATTTGTA